TTCCAGTTGGGATATTATGAATAAAAGCTGCTGTGAACATTCTTTTTTTTAAAATATATTTTATTCATTTTTTTTACAGAGAAGAAGGGAGAGGGATAGAGAGTTAGAAACATCGATGAGAGAGATCGATCAGCTGCCTCCTGCATGCCCCCCAGTGGGGATGTGCCCGAAACCAAGGTACATGCCCTTGACCGGAATCGAACCTGGGACCCTTCAGTCCGCAGGCCGACGCTCTATCCACTGAGCCAAACCGGTTCGGCTGTGAACATTCTTGATGTTCAGCTCACAGCTACTCTGGTGAGCAATTTAGTGATGATGTCAAGTTGCAGATGTGTATACTTCATGACCCAGCAACTCCAACCCTGGGATAACACATTAATAGACGCTTTCACACATGTTAAAAGCGGCCAGAGTAAAAATGCCGATGGCTATGTTATTATAACTGCAAAAATACAATAAACTAACCTGAAATGCCCACCAACAGGAGAGTCAGTCAGTAAATTGTGGTCAAGTCATACAATGGAACACTATATATAAGTAAATGTAAATGACATAAAGCTAATCATATCAAGATGATGGCTCAGAAATAATACTGTGTGAAGAAAGCAGGATCTAGGTGCACAATGCCACTTACATACAATTTTAAAACATGCAGTACACGCCCTAGCCGGTTTGGCTCAGTGGATAGAGCATTGGCCTGCAGACTGAAGGATCCCAGGTTCAAATCTGATCAAGGGCACGTACCTTGGTTGCAGGTTCCTCTCAGCCCAAGCCCTAGTCAGGGCTCGTGCAGGAGGCAACCAATCAATGTGTTTCTCTCGCATCGATGTTTCTCTCCCTCTCTCTTCCACTCTCCCTAAAAGTCAATGGAAAAATATCCTCCGGTGAGGATTTGAGAAAAAAAAATGTATATATAAAACATGCAGTACACTCCCTCATTGGCTGGGAACACAGCTGCATGTAATAAAGGTACAAAAAATGGTGACAATTGAGAGTAGTGATTCCCTTCAGGCGGGGAGGGCAGAGCCTGTGCAGTGGGGAGTACAGGGGGGTCGACTGAATGCATAGGTGCTTTGCTGCTTCATCCAGGCGACCAGTACACAGGTGGTTGGTATTTCATTTTCAAGCTTGACATGTATCATCAGGGCCGTTCCATTCAGGTGGAATCCTGGGGTGGAAGATTTGAAAGGAGCTAAAATTGGAGGGTCCTTGGCACGAGGACAGGAAGTGACCAGTGAGACGTTCAGAGGGTTCAGCGGGTGTGGGCACCCCCGGCCCTGCTCACCCTGCCCCAGGCCCAGCTGTGAAGACTCAGAGACGCCAGAGCACAGTCTGCACTGAAGGGCCGTAAGGACGGGGTTCCCCGTGGTCAGGACCAAACAGTGGGGCCTAAGTGCTTCCTCTTGGTAGACAGGTCAGCGGGATGGGGACGGGGAGAGGATCAGACCAGCACCATCAAGTGGGTGGTGCAGGAAGGTGTGCCGGCCTCTCTTCCTTTGGGCGTGCCCCACCTTAACCCCGTTCTCCATACCTCCTCCTGGGCTTCACCTTTCCAGGCACTGTTTGCCAGCCTCCTCTTGACCCTGGAAGACGAACTGACCAGGCTCTGTCACCACAATCCCCAGCACAGTAAGTGCTGGATGAGGAAGCAGGGACCTGAGGCAGGCCTTCGCGGTAGAAATGGGGTGACCGGGAGGACACAAATGGGGCAGGGGAGTCAGGGAAGACATGGGCAGTGAGGACCCTGGCTGTCCAGGGGCCAGGACCCCTGGTGGGTCAGAATGTTCCTGTTTTCCTTTCCCTGTCCACTCGGGCTAGGAAAATCCCGTGACACACCCAACCTCCACCCCTCCGATCGGCAGGCTGTGCCTTGAGGTGACCCGCAAGGTGCTGACTAGCACAGGGGCGGGATGGGGGTTCAGCTGTGGGCACAGCTCACCCACTCCTGGGGTCCTCCTAGCTTCCCAGGTGTCCCTAATGGATCTGTTCCCCAACCATTGCAGCTAACCAGTTGCTATAGAAACTGGAGCCGTTTCTCTTACCCATTTGCCAGGGCACCACTAGGAAGCCATCCTGGACTGGGCTCCTGTTCCCAACCTCTCACCATCCTGTTGAGGCCTATGGTCAGGCTCAGACCGCCTTGGCCCAAGTTAATACTCTACCCCACCCTTGCTGGGGGCACTTCCTGCCTCTATGCCAGTCCCTGTGTGGCCATGACTTCTACCTCCTCCCCCAAGCCCTCCCTGGGCTATCGAGTTTCTTAGCTAAGAAACCACCCCCATTTTCTTTCTCCTGCACAGGAAGTGCTGACTCAGAGAGAGAAGGGCACTCCCCCATTCAGGCGACCTTATGAGGATCAGTTCCACCTGCCGGGACTCGGCCCCCAGGCTCTCAGAGGCAATGGCTCCAGCTGCTCCCTAGTGTCACACAGCCCAGCAGGTCCCGGAGCCAGAGGCAGGGGAGTGCCCGGCACCGCCTCCACACCTGCTTCACCGTCTTTTCCCTGAACACACCTGCCCGGTGCTTCGGCGCCAGGGCTGTGGCCAAAGAACTAGGGACCTGGTCATGGAGGGTCAGGCGGAGGCCCCACATCCCCAACCGTCACTGGGCGTGTTCCTTGTAACCCAGTCCACCAAGATGTCCTGGGACGAAAGCATTCCACGGTCCAAACCCAGCTGGTAACACTGAGCTCTAACCCCTCTTGGGTGGGCGGGGTGTCGAAATGCACATTAGCACAGTCAAGGCTCTGAGAAGGCCTGTGGGAAATAAACTTGCTTTAATCCATGATTCTTAAATGTATTTGACCAGACTTTTTTAAAAAAATATATATTTTATTGATCTTCCACAGAGAGAAAGGGAGAGGGATAGAGAGTTAGAAATATCGATGAGAGAGAAACATCCATCAGCTGCCTCCTGCACACCCCCTACTGGGATGTGTCCGCAACCAAGGTACATGCCCTTGACCGGAATCGAACCTGAGACCCTTGAGTCTGCAGGCCGACGCTCTACCCACTGAGCCAAACCGGCTAGGGCAGACTTTTTTTTTTTTAAGAACATATGCTAGTCCTAGCCGGTTTGGCTCAGTGGATAGAGCATTGAGCTGCGGACTGAAGCCGGTCCTGGGTTTGATTCCGGTACCTCGGTTGCAGGCTCTTCCCCAGCCCCAGATCTGGTCGGGACTCATGCAGAGGCAACCAATCAATGTGTTTCTCTCACATAGATATTTCTGTCTTTCCCTCTCTCTTCCACGTTCTACAAATCAATGGAAAAATATCCTCAGGTGAGGACTAAAAAATGTTTTAAATAAATAAAAGAACATGTGCTAACGGAACACCTCTTATACCTTTTGGAAACACTGCTCACGCGGCCGCTCTCCTCACCAGGAAAGGTATCAGCAGGGCCCAGATCTCACTGCCACCCCCAGAAGGCCGTCCCAGGTGGAGGGCTTTGTATCCTCCGTATTTGGTGTCCGAGGGGCAACAGCGTTGGTGGCTGGGACCTTGTGAGAAATCCTGGACCTCGGGCCCCACCCCCACCTCCTGCTCTGAGTCTGCAGGTTAATACCATCCCTAGGGGATCGGACAGTGTGAGCAGCTGTCCCACACCTGCTGTTCCTCCCCCTCCACGATGGCTAGCTGATCACCTCCCCGCCGGGTGGGGGCTCTGGGCCCTGTATCCACATGAATTGGCCTGTTCTGAATCTCGCACCTGATTGGGAAACTCCCCACATCATGAATTCTCCTTCCCAGGGGCCCAGCCATCGAAGAGGCCTCGCTTTTGCAGAAGCTCAGAGCAAGGACCACGCGGCCTTTTGTCCCTGCTCAGCTGTCTCTTCCACAGAGACGCCCGGGGACTGTCCTCTCGGGGGCTCCAACCAGAGTCACCCCTGAGCCAGTCCAGCCTCCCTAGTGGTCATTCACAAGGGTCTAAAGCAGCGGTTCTCAACCTGTGGGTCGCGACCCCTGAAAATACATCCTGCATATCAGATATTTACATTACGATTCATAACAGTAGCAAAATTACAGTTATG